ATTTTAATTCCTCCCAAATGCTTTCGGCTTTTTCTTGATAGATGAGTGGGTCCGTTCTGTCCTTTTGAAGTGAGAGAGTTTATTTTCTTAGAATGAGCCCTTCCGTATATTCTTAATCAGAGGTAGCCCTGCCTATGAATACAGATGAGGGCGTTGTCCTGAAAGGCTCTCCTGTTCTAAGGAACACCATGAACGATAGAACCCTTCATTTGAAAAGGAATCCAAGAGTCCATCCAGCATTTCAATAGATGACAGGATTTCGCTGTTCTCAGGAATGCTATTGTCTTTAAGAAGCTCTCTTTTTCCTTCCTTTCGTTCTCACTCTTCGTGCGCTCGCTTTCTGCACGCTCCCTTTCTTGTGTCCCTTCTGCGGCCCTTTCTTCCTCTGTTCATTTTGTCATTGGGGGGATAGCAGAAGGGCAAGGTTAAGCAAGGAGAATGAAGGGAATGATCTGATGGAAGGAGGACTTCTCCTGCTCCTTGTAACTACCTGGTTACCTTCCACACTTCTCAACATGTCTCTGTGATCTTTTCTCTGGTTTTTCTTCTTAGCAAGGTGGGGAAAGTGTCCTCCTCTCACACCCCTCTTTCACTCTTGGAGGCCCCTGGGAGACGCTCTCTGAAGGCCGCCGAGAAAATCTTGGGGCAGGCTTGGAGGGGTTTGGGGTGCGTGGAAAGAAGCAGCGCAGGGCCATGTCCAGAACAGGACCCGTCCTTTGTACAGGTTCTGCCTCGTAAAGTCAGAAAGGATGAGCAATGAACAGAAACACCGGGGGCACCGGAGTGAGAGACATGGACACAGATAGCGAAGCAAAGAGAAGGAGACAGTAATCAGGGAGAAGAGGAAGAAGGAAGACAGTGGAAGAGCGACAGATAGGGAAACAGGGCGAAGGAAACAGAAACAATGAAGAAGAGGAAGGAGGAAGCGATGGTGAAAAGAAGGCCGCTTGGAGAACAAAAAGAGGTCAGGGAAGATCAAGAAGAAACGAGAATAGGTAGGGCAGGACACTTGTTTTTGTTATCCACTGTTCCTTTTCCTTAGCCCTTACACTTATTACCCGAGCATCGCTCATTCCTTTCTTCCACGGTCTTTGTCCTTCATTTCTTCTCTCCATCTCTCTATCCTCTCTCTAGCTCTCCTTCCTTTCTTTTCCCAGGTTCGTTCTCCTCTTTTCTCCGCTCTCCCTTTTCTCGTGTCCATTCCATGACACTTTCCTCCTCTGTTCCTTGTGTCATTAAGTAGGGGGATAGAACAAGGGCAAGGTTAAGCAAGAATGAAGGGAATGAGAAGATGGAAGGAGGACTTCTCCTGCTCCTTCTAAGTACCTTCCACGCCGCTCTACATGTCTCTGTGTTCGTTTCTCTTGTTTCTCTTCTTAGCAATGTGGGGAAAGGGTCCTCCTCTGACACCTCTCCTTCACTCTTGGACGCCCGTGAAAGCCACCTGAAACTCTTGGGGGAGGCTCAGAAGAGGGGTCTGGAGTGTGTGGAAAGAGGCAGCGCAGGACCATGTCCAGAGCAGGACCCATCGTTTGTACAGGGTCTGCCTCGTAAAGTCAGAAAGGATGAGCAACATCGGGGGGCTCCGGAGTGAAAGAGATGGAGACAGGTAGCGAAGCACAGAGAAGGAGACAGTAATCAGGGAGAAGAAGAAGAAGGAAGACAGTGGAAGAGCGACAGATAGGGAAACAGGGCGAGGAAACAGAAACAATGAAGAAGAGGAAGGAGGAAGCGACGGTGAAAAGAGGGCCGCTTGGAGAACAAAAAGAGGTCAGAGAAGATCGAGAAGAAACGAGAATAGGTAGGGCAAGGCACTTGTTTTTTTCAAGCATCGCTCACTCCTTTCTTCCACGGTCTTTGTCCTTCATTTCTTCTCTCCATCTCTCTATCCTCTCTCTAGCTCTCCTTCCTTTCTTGTTCCATGTTCGTGCTCCTCCTTTCTCCGCGCTCCCATTTCTCCTGTCCATTCCATGACACTTTCCTCCTCTGTTCCTTTTGTCATTAAGTAGGGGGATAGAACAAGGGCAAGGTTAAGCAAGGAGAATGAAGGGAATGATAAGATCGAAGGAGGACTTCTCCTGCTCCTTGTAACTACCTTGCGTGCCACTCTACATGTCTCAGTGTTCTTTTCTTTTGCTTTGCTTCTTAGCAATGTGGGGAAAAGGTCCTCTTCTCACACCTCTCCTTCACTCTTGGACGCCCCTCAAGGCCGCCTGAAACTCTTGGGGGAGGCTCAGAAGAGGGGTTTGGAGTGTGTGGAAAGAAGCAGCGCAGGGCCATGTCCAGAACAAGACCCATCGTTGGTACAGGGTCTGCCTCGTAAAGTCAGAAAGGATGAGCAATGAACAGAAAACACCGGGGGGCACCGGAGTGAAAGAGATGGAGACAGATAGAGTCAGATAGAGAAGCAAAGAGAAGGAGACAGTAATCAGGGAGAAGAGGAAGAAAGAAGACAGCGGAGGAGCGACAGATAGGAGACAGGGTGAAGGAAACAGAAGCAATGAGGAAGGGGAAGGAGGAAGCGATGGTGAAAAGAGGGCCGCTTGGAGAACAAAAAGAGGTCAGAGAAGATCAAGAGGAAACGAGAATAGGTAGGGCAGGACACTTGCTTTTGTTATCCACTGTTCCTTTTCCTTAGCCCTTACACTTATTACCCGAGCATCGCTCATTCCTTTCCACGGTCTTTGTCCTTCTTTTCTCCTCTCCGTCTATCTATCCTCTCTCTAGCTCTCCTTCCTTTCTTTTCCCATGTTCGCTCTCCTCCTTTCTCTGCTCTCCTTTTTCTCGTGTCCTTTCCATGACCCTTTCCTCCTCTGTTCCGTTTGTCATTAAGTAGGCGGATAGAACAAGGGGCACGCATGGCTAAGCAAGGAGAACGAAGGGAATGATGAGATGGAAGGAGGACTTCTCCTGCTCCTTCTTCTAACTACCTTTGTCTTTGTGCTCCTTTCTCTTGTTCCCCACCCTCGATGTGGGGTTGTTAGATCTTAAGCGCAACTCTTCTCCTCGCCCAGAACTCTTCTCCTCGCCCGGGAGTGCCCAACCGCAAAGTGTTTCTGGAGTGCCCAACCCAGACCTGGAACGCCCAACCCCAGTGTCCCTGGAGAGTCTCCCTGGAGTGCCCAGCCCCACTGTGTTTGGAGCGCCCAGCCCCAGAGTCTGTCTGGTGCGCCCAACCCCAGAGTCTCCCTGGGGCTGGAGTGCCCAGCCCCAGAGTGTCCCTGGAGTGCCCAACCCCAGAGTATCTCTACGCAGAGAGGGTTTGGATGTTAAAAGCAAAATAATTTTCTTCTTAGCAATGTGGGCAGCGCAGGACCAGGTCCAGAACAGGACCCATCTGCATGGAAAACGATGAGCAATGCATAGAAAACACCGGGGGCTCCGGAGTGAAAGAGATGGAGATGGTAATCGTGAAGAAGAGGAAGAAGGAAGACAGTGGAAGAGCGACATATAGGGAAACAGGGTGAAGGACACAGAAACAATGAAGAAGAGGAAGGAGGAAGCGACGGTGAAAAGAGGGCCGCTTGGATAACAAAAGGGGGGCAGAGAAGATCAAGAAGAAAAGGGTACAGGTAGGGCAGGGCACTTTTTTTCAAGCATCGCTCACTCCTTTCTTCCACGGTCTTTGTCCTTCATTTCTCCTCTTTATCTCTCCATCCTCTCTCTAGCTCTCCTTCCTTTCTTGTTCCATGTTCGTTCTCGTCCTTTCTCCGCTCTCCCTTTTCTCGTGTCCATTACATGACCCTTTCCTCCTCGGTTCCTTTTGTCATTAAGTAGGGGGATAGAACAAGGGCAAGGTTAAGCAAGGAGAATGAAGGGAATGATAAGATCGAAGGAGAACTTCTCCTGCTCCTTGTAACTACCTTGCACAGCTCTCTGCATGTCTCTGTGTTCTTTTCTCTTGTTTTCTTCTTAGCAATGTGGGGAAAGGGTCCTCCTCTGACACCTCTCCTTCACTCGTGGAGGCCCCTTGGGGGGGAGAAGGCGTGTGAAATTTTGTGGAGGCTCAGAGGTGTTTGGAGTGTGTGGAAAGAGGCAGCGCAGGACCATGCCCAGAACAGGACCCATCGTTTGCACAGGGTCTGCCTCGTAAGAATGAGCAATGAACAGAAAACACAGGGCGGCGCCGGAGTGAGAGAGATGGAGACAGATAGAGAAGCAAAGAGAAGGAGACAGTAATCAGGGAGAAGAGGAAGAAGGAAGGCAGCGGAAGAGCGACAGATAGGGAAACAGGGTGAAGGAAACAGAAACAATGAAGAAGAGGAAGGAGGAAGCGATGGTGAAACAGGATTGCTTGGAGAACAAAAAGGAGACGGAGAAATCAAGAAGAAACGAGCAGAGGTAGGGCAGGACACTTGTTTTTGTTATCCACTGTTCCTTTTCCTCGCCCTTACGCTTAATTTCCGAGCATCGCTCACTCCTTTCTTCCACGGTCTTTGTCCTTCAGTTCTCCTCTCCGTCTATCTATCCTCTCTCTAGCTCTCCTTCCTTTCTTTTCCCATGTTCGCTCTCCTCCTTTCTCTGCTCTCCTTTTTCTCGTGTCCATCCCACGAGCCTTTCCTCCTCTGTTCCTATTAAGTAGGGGGATAGAACAAGGGCGAATGAAGGGAATGATGAGATGGAAGGAGGGCTTCCCCTGCCCCTTCTAACTACCTTCGACAGCTCTCTACATGTCTCTGTGTTCTTTTCTCTTGTTTTTCTTCTTAGCAATGTCGGGAAAGGGTCCCGTGGTCCTAAACCCTAACGCCTAAACCCTCGTGAGTATTTCGGCCTCGGGAATGACTGGACGAAACGTCGTGACGCCACAGAAAACGAAAGTCTTCAACTATGATAACGGGCATAGAAACGTATATGCAAATTGAGTATTAACCAAGAGCAAAAGCCAAATAATACATAAAGGTCCATGCCACATATTCATATACGTATATATGGAGAGAGAGGGTCCCTGCAAAAAAACAATAAGGAAAATAGAAAAAAAGTCCCAAAACCCACCTAGTTTCTGCTTATTCTTCATGTGCATCACTTTACGGATGACTTGAATGCCCTCCGCCGGAACGTCTGGCAGCCATCGCTGTATCTCGTCGCTCCACTGGTTGAGCAGCACTGTGGGCGCCACGACCAAAACCTAGGAAAGCCCTTAAAACCATCTGAAAAGATTCTTCCGTAAACCCTAAACCCTAAACCCTGAATATGATCCTCTAAAACCCAGAAGGGAAAATGCAAAATATTTCAAGGGCCTTCCTAGCCCCAAACCCTAACCCTAAACCCGCCTAAACCCCAAACCCTAAACCCTAAACCCGAAACTCTAAACCCTAAACCCTAAACCCTAAACCCTAACCCTAAACCCTGAACCCTAATTAAATCCTAAACCCTGTCTAGAAGCAGGCCAGTCCTGCCTGTAGTTTGCACAAACCGCCAACGCAATGACCGTCTTGCCGAGCCCCATCTCATGGCCCAGCAGCACGCGGCCAGCACGCTGGAGGGCATACCTTAGCTTTGGAGTAGACCCTGGAAAAAAAGTATATACTTTTTAGGTAAGAAGTAGCTATAATAGGAACCCAGAACCAAAAAAAAGTATTAAAGTTTAGTACTCCAAAGCCCAGGTACTCAACCGCACTGCGTTGGTATGGCAGCAAGCCTAGGCTGCCCAGTAACTCCGGCTTAAAAAGGGTGCCCTTGTTTGCTTAAAGGGGTTTATCAGGGAACCTAAACCCCCCAAAAAGGGAATAAGGGTTCATCCTAGAAGCTGAAGCCATCTTCACTCAGCGGCACCTCCTGCTGCTGCAAGACGACCCCATTCAGCTCTCCGATCCGCTCATCGAGGCCAACCGGCTCAGCGCCGCGGAGAAAGCTCAGGTGCCTGTCTTCGACATTCAGCTCCCTCAGAAGCTTCTGCTTCAGCTCCTGGAAGGTTGCGTCTCTTCCCACCTTCGTCAGCGTTCTCAAAGGATCGCCGGACAGGAGGGTTAGAATCAGACCACCATCCTTGGTTGATCTTTATCCCCCCCAGAAAAGCTTGGCTCCCTGAATATGCATACGAGGAACCCCTTAAACCCTACACCCTACACCCTAAACCCTAAACCCTAAACCCTAAACCCTAAACCCTAAACCCTAAACCCTAAACCCTAAACCCTGAACCCTAAACCCTACATAGAATGCCATGGAAGTGATTAAAGTTGTAGTAAAGTCCCACCGAGCATCGCTGGACCACTTCAGACTGCAGAGGCGATCGCCCCCCTTCTTCCGAAGGGAAAGCTGCTGGCGCAGCGGGGGAAGCCAGTTTGGCTCCATGGCATTCTATGTGGGGTTTAGGGTTTAGGGTTTAGGGTTTAGGGTTTAGGGTTTAGGGTTTAGGGTTTAGGGTTTAGGGTTTAGGGTTTAGGGTTTAGGGTTTATGGTTTATGGTTTAGGGTTTAGGGTTTAGGGTTTAGGGTTTAGGGTTTAGGGTTTAGGGTTTAGGGTTTAGGGTTTAGGGTTTAGGGTTTAGGGTTTAGGGTTTAGGGTTTAGGGTTTAGGGTTTAGGGTTTAGGGTTTAGGGTTTATGGGTTTAGGGTTTAGGGTTTAGGGTTTAGGGTTTAGGGTTTAGGGTTTAGGGTTTAGGGTTTAGGGTTTAGGGTTTAGGGTTTAGGGTTTAGGGTTTAGGGTTTAGGGTTAGGGTTTAGGGCTTAGGCCTACAAAGGCCGGAGCGGCATACTGAACTTGAACCTCGGTCAGCACGCATGTATGCAAACGTTCTCTCAGGAAAGGAGGGAATTAGGGTTTTTGGTTCTTCTTCTTCTTCCCTAAACTCTAAACCCTAAACCCTAAACCCTAAACCCTATTTTTTCGGCTTGCAGCTCTTGACATTCTTCAACCAGCGAGGACTGCTGGCGGACAGTCGGTTTGCAGCACCTTGAAAACCCAAAGCTTAGGGTATAGGGTTTGGGGCTTAGGGCTTAAGGTTTAGGGTTTAGGGTTAAGGGCTTAGGGTTGAGGGTTTAGGGTTTAGGGTTTAGGGTTTAGGGTATAGGGTTTAGGGTTTAGGGGCACCAACCGTTTTTTCTTTCTCCGGCCCCCACGCTTCCTTGAAAAAGCCATGGGCATCTCTGGTTCCAGTCCACACAGCTCGGAAGCCACGAGGGCGCACTAACAGCCAGTGCCAGCTCGTTTCTAGGGTCTGCGGTTGAGGGTTTCGGTTTTTAGGGTTTGGGGTTTAGGGTTGAGGGTTTAGGGTTTTGGGGTGTAAGGTTTGGGGTTTTGGGTTTGGTGCAAATCAGGGTTGAGAGCTGTAGGTCTCGACGAGTGTAGGGCTTTGAACGTAGTATGTTCGACTGCGAAGAAGCAGCCGAGAGGCAACGTTCCTAAAAACTGCTGCTCCCCCCTAAACCCTAAACTGTAACGCCTTAACCCTAAACCCTAAACCTCGCGAACCCTAAACCCTAAACCATGAGCCCTAAACCCTGTATCGAAGCAACCGAAGCTGCCGAGGGCGCGTGGCTTTGCACATCAGGGTCGAGGGTTTTGGGGTTGGTTCCCTTAGCCCTGAGCCCTAAACCTACCTCCACCTTCAAGTCATACAAGACCTAGACCCATTTAGGTTTAGGGTCTAGGGCCTAGGGCCTAGGGCCTCGGGTTTAGGGTTTAGGGTTTCGGGTTTAGGGTTTAGGGTTTGGGTTTAGGGTGTGGTAGAAATGGAAAACTCATCTTGGTCAGGGTTCAGGGTTCAGGGCTGAGGGTTGAGGGTTTAGGGTTTAGAGCTTAGGGTTTCGGGTTAGGGTCCTGGTATAACTCTCATGGCTGGCACTGGCCCCGACTACGAACGACTACAGCCGTGCAGCAGCGTCGCTGTCGTTGGATTAAGCTTAGGGTTTAGGGTTTAGGGCTTAGGGCTTAGGGCTTAGGGCTTAGGGCTTAGGGCTTAGGGCTTAGGGTTTACGGGTCGTTGTCTTGAAAACCCTAATCTTAGGGTTTAAGGTTAAGAGTGCTAAGAGCGTTAAGGGTATGAAGGGCATTCAGGGCATTTAGGGCATTTAGGGCATCAAGGGCGTTAAGGGCGTTAAGGGCACTAAGGCCACTAAGGGCGTGGAGGGCGTTAAGTTCGTTGAGGATTTAGGGCTTCAGCACAAAGAGCTAAGGCCTGAAGCACTGGTTCTCCAAACCCCAAACCCTAAACCCTAAACCCCCCTAAACCCTACGTAGCCCTGAACCCTAAACCCTAATTAACTAAACCCTAAACCTTAAACCCTAAAACCCTAAATGTCCCAAATGTCCCAAATGTCCCACAATGCGTGACGCTGTCGCACCACGTTGCTGGCCTACAGCTTGCACTGCTCTTGTTCCGACATCCAACGAGCTTTAGAGGTCGGCCTCTTCAAGCCGAGGATTCTTGAAACAACAGGGTTTAGGGTTTAGGGTTTAGGGTTTAGGGTTTAAGGTTTCGGGTTTCGGGTTTAGGGTTTAGGGTTTAGGGTTGAGGATCCGCCGACCCTGGCGGCGTGTTGGATGGAAGGCAAAACGCATGCATAGAATGCTTTTAAGGTCCCCAAACCAACCCCACTGATGCTCCTGATGCGGGTGCGCGCGCGCGCGCCGGGGGGGGGGGGGGGGGGGGGGGGGGGGGGGGCGAAGGCAGGAGAAAGAGAGACAGAGAGAAGGAGAGGACAAAGACACGGGAAAGAGAAGACAGTGCCAAGGTTCAAGGTTTCGTGCTTTGGGGGCGGGGGCCGGCCCGTGCCGCTAGGCCTGAATTTAGGGTTTAGGGTTTAGGGTTTAGGGTTTAGGATATAGGGTTTAGGGTTTAGGGTTAGGGTGTAGGCGTTTACAACAAGACTCCTCTCCTGGTACTTGAAGCTGTCACATACGTCGGCCATTTCCGGTCTCCCCCGCAAGGCACAAAGTGAAATGAGTCGGTGCGTATCCCCACACGCTAAAGCCCTAGTATAGGGGCCGTAATACTTAGAACAGGGTTTTGGGGAGCGATTATAAACTGGTTACGAAGGGACCATAAGAGAATACTTTTAGTAGAGTTTGGGGTTTGGGGTTTGGGGTTTGGGGTTTTTGGGGCTTGGGGCTTGGGGGCTTGGGGTTGGGGTTGGGGTTGGGTTTTGGGTTTGGGGTTTGGGTTTGGGGTTTGGTGTTTTTTGGGGTTTGGGGTTTGGGGTTTGGGGTTTGGGGTTTGGGGTTTGGGGTTTGGGGTTTGGGGTTTGGGGTTTGGGGTTTGGGGTTTGGGGTTTGGGGTTTGGGGTACTACATCCCTGAACGCTGCAACTTGGGGTTCGGGGGGTTTAGGGTTTAGTGCCTGGGGTTTCTGTGGTTAAGGTTTGGCATTTTCCGGTTGATACAGGGGTCGGAATAATTACTAATAATAGTATTTCCTTAAACTTGTGGTCCCTTTGTAAATATACTATAAGAACCCTCCCCCCCCCCCCCCCCCAAAAAAAAAAAAAAAAAAAAACGCATTCTAATCATTAAGGCCCCTTTTATTAAGGGTTTGGAGCTCAGGTCTCAGGGTGCGGTGGTTTCCGGGGCCTCCCAGAACCTCGTCCAAACTCAGCCAGCTGCTTCTGCTTATCTGGACGTTAACCCTAAACCCTAAACCCTCAACCCTAAACCCTCAACCCTAAACCCTAAACCCTAAGCCCCTAAACCCTAAACCCTAAACCCTGAACCCTGAACCCTAAACCCTAACCCTCTGAAGGTTTACGGACGAAGTCTCGGGGTGTCAGGCTCGGGGGCACAGGCTTTGGGAGGGGGTGCTGGAGGGAACTTTAAATCCTGAACCACAAGCACTAAACCAAAAAACCCGTAAACCCTAACCCCTTCGCCCTAAACCCTAAACCCTAAACCCTAATCCCTTAGGATGTAGGGGCAGTTTAGGGCATAGGCGTGGGGTTGAGGTGCCAGTGTTGTGCTTAATGGCGTTGATGTTTAGGGTTTAGGGTTCAGGGAAACTTCAACCCGAAACCCAAAACACGCAAGGAATAAGGGAGCACGGGAAGATCCACAACTAGCCGGGATGGTGTTCAAATCGTTCAGGCAGATGCCTGCTGGAAAATAGCCCTCCTGATTCTGGGGTTTAGGCTTTGGGGTTGAAGATTGAGGGTTTAGGGTTGAGGGTTGAGGGTCCAGGGTTTAAGGTTTAGGGTTTAGGCTAACCCTGACCCCGACACTAAGCCTTGAGGATCTGGGTTGCAAGGGCTCAGCAGAAGTGTAGGACTTTCTTCTGCAGGAATGATGCACTGGTGGTTTTGCTTCAGGGCTGCCGGGTTGTCTTGGGTTTAGAAAGTGGGCTGCTGCACAATCCCTGGCAACATCAATCATGAGGCCCAGCGAAGCTCGCATTGGTTTAGGGTTTCGGGACGCTCGTATAAGGGCTTAGGGCTTAGGGTTTAGGGCTTAGGGCTTAGGGTTTAGAGTTTGGGGTTTAGGGTTTGGGGTTAAGGATTTAGGGTTTAGGGTTTAGGGTGCAGGGTTTAGGGTTTAGGGTTTAGGGTTTAGGGTTTAGGGTTCAGGGTTTAGGGTTGAGGGCTTGCCCAAACCCCCAAGAGGTCAGGGAGGCTCGCATCTGTGCGCCTACTAACCCCACGTCGCCCCGCCGATCCGGTCGGCGTTGCCACTGTGGTCATCAGAGGCTGCCGACTACTTGGAGGTTCAGGGTTTAGGGTTTAGGGTTTAGGGTTTAGGGTTTAGGGTTTAGGGTTTAGGGTTTAGGATTTAGGGTTTAGGGTTTAGGGTTTAGGGTTTAGGGTTTCGGGTTTCGGGTTTCGGGTTTAAGGTTTCGGGTTTCTCGTTTAGGGTTTAGAACCTCCGACTGCTAGCGCACCTCCTTCCCTGGCAGACGAGTCCCTGGTCTGAACTTCGGGGGTTTTTAGGTTTTTGGGCTCTAGGGTTTTGTTGTTTCAAAGTTTTAGGGTTTTAGGGCTTTAGGGCTTTAGGGTTTTAGTGTTTTAGGGTGTTATAAGGTTTTAGGGCGTCAGGGTTTTTAGGGTTTTTGGGGGTGGTTGGTGTAGGGTGGGACCGAAACCCCAGACCCCCAAACCCTACATCCCCATCCTTTGTTCTTGCCAGCGCAAGTCACCTGCCCGACTTAAGCGTTAAGCGCACGCAGACGATGCTTCCGAGTGAGTCTGAACACTGTCCCTGAAACCGTCAGCCCTCAACCTTACAAACGTTAAGGGTTTAGGGCTTAGGGTTTAGGGCTTAGGGCTTAGGGCTTAGGGCTTAGGGCTTAAGGTTTAGGGCTGCGGGTGGCTAAGCCCTAAACTCTAAGCGGTACACACCCTAACGGCCCTCAAGCCTACAACCCCTACACC